CATACAAAATACAGTAGGTTAAAAAAAACGATAGTCATATAACTCTGTTAAAAATATATATGTACTTGAATAATATTTGCATTAGATAAGCATATATAGAATTGAAATTGTTTGTTGTTATAATGATATACGAATACTTTTTTTGTTGTATTTTTTTACTTTTTTCTTAAACCACTTTATGTATATTTTTTCTTCTTTTTGTAATCAAAAATTTTAAAAAATAAAGTTGCCGAGGTTGAAAAAAAAATAAAAAGCAGTGCGTGTATGGGTTTGCAGAGTCCCGCACTGTGATGCTCCCACCCCGCAGGAAACAGGTCTGTGCCCCAGGCTGGGGATTTCTGAGGTGGAAGCTGAACTCTGCGGCAGTGCTGATCTTCGCCATGAGAAGCCGGTGATGGTGATGGTGGGCTAATGTACTGCCTTGCGTTTGTCAAAAGCTTTCTCCCCTGTGAAAGAAATTTCGGTTACCTAATTCAGTGTTTCTCAGCCTCAGCAATTTTACGATGGGTGGATTTCCATTCCCAGAATTCCTGGAATGCTGGCTAGGGAGGTCTGGGCTTGAGGTCCACCCATCTTAAAGTTGCCAAGGTTGAGAAACACTGGTCTAGTGCTATGGAGAGTAAATCCACGCCCTCTTCCTTGTGGCAGCCCTTCGTGTATTGGAAGACTGCTATCGTGTCACCCATTTGCCTTCTCTTATTTAGGCTAAACTTAACAATTTCCTTTAACTTTGAAGCAGTGATGAATTTTCTTTTAACTTCCTTCATAGGATTTCACCACCATAAATAGAATCTTTGCTATTCTCTGCACTCTTTCCAATACCTCAGATCCTTCTTGCATTGTGGTCACGAAAATTGGACATAGTATTCCAGTTCTGGTCAACACAAGAGCATATTCCAGTCTTGCAGTCTTCCTGCTCAATGGTTTTTCACCTTCCCTAAGTAGCATTACCTGGTGGTCTCCCATCAAGATATAGTGAGGTTCAACCCTGTTAGCTTTATTGCACGCCATACAATGGGCTACATTTATATAGGGTTGTGTAGTTTGCTATTTGTCATATATCACTGCCTCAGGAGGCTGTGTGAACCAGGATTACAAGACACAAAGTTGTTTATTTGTTTGCACATAGCATGGGATGTGGACACAACAATTATTCTTTATTCTTCTGGAGTCAAGATTTAGCCTTTTGTCTGAACCTGGTCGCACATTTGAGATACAAGTTCGTGTCCCATTTGCTTTGCATAGAAGGGGCTTTTGTAGAACATCAGCCTCTTTCTCATCCTTGTTGCTGCAAGAAGAAATGGGAGAAGACTTCTAAAGCTTTTGACTGCTGAAAAAATCCTTTAAGACAGTGTTTCTCAACCTCAGCAAATGTGTGGACTTCAACTCCCAGAATTCCCCAGCTCAGAAAAAATTGCTGAGGTTGAGAAACTCTGCTTTAAGAGTAGTTATTATGAGTGAAATGATTACTATGGCTAGCAAGATGAAACCTTGGGTGTGTTTTGGCATGGACGTTTGTGCAAATCAGTGGCCAGTGGTAGTAGCCCTGTTGGTAGTCGGAACCCTGGGGGTGAAGGAAAGGGAGGGGGGGAGCCTGAATGTCAGGCCAGAGGTCAGGCCAGTTGATCTAGGCTTGTTCTGGGACAAAAGGGAGGTGTCCGTTGCAGCTGTGCTCCTTGGAGAACAAAGGCTTAATGAACTGATTAGTAATTTATCCAAATGGCTGGGACTGGAGGGCGTTGCGGTCTCTGGAGTTGAAGGGAGAACTTTCATAAATCCAAGGTCTTTGATTCTGGATAGAAGATCCAGATGTTCTTATTCATCATTTACCAAGTACCAGCTGGATTTGTCTAACATGCAGGCAACCAAGTTATGGTATTGTGGGTTGGATTGCTTAATCCTCTTGTGACAATCTTCCTGCATCTGGGGCCTTCTAGACCTGGGGGGCTGTAAATCCTGTTACTCCCCAATCCTACCCCCATCAGCATATTCTAGGAAGGGCCGTGCACCCCTGAGAGCTCCAAAACACCTTTTTGCCTTTGAACCCAAAGGTGCTTTGGTACTCGGGGGCATCATGGCGCACCTGTCGGCAGGTCTTCCACAGCTGACCTCTGCAGGATCTTTTTGCTTTCAGATCCGAAGTGCAGCTCAAAGGTATCCTGGCTGGAGACAGTAAGAGGAACCTGAATATTCCTGCCATTTAGTGGCTTCCTAAAACAAAAGATCTAGGAAATGATGTAGAAGTACACGCCACAGTTTATTGCTCTGTTGCAAGCGTTCCTCTTGCTACAACTGTAAGATGGTGTGAATTTTCTGGGCCCAACCCAGCCTTTGGCAGACACTCTGGAAGCATCTTCAGACTCTTCAAGGCCCTCGGCATGTCTTCCCCAAACCATCTGCCCGGCTCCCATTCACTCTTCAGTTCCCCCTGCCTTTTTCTCTCCACCGCCGGTGATTTATGCCAAGTCTCCATTGATTTAACAAGTCATCTCTTTCTTAGCAGCCTTTCCTATAAAAAGGATCAAAAGTCATGGGGGTGGGAAAAAGACCCCTTTAGAGATGGGAAGGGCTGGCCTTCCTTTATTAACACTCCCCCCCCATTCCTGGTGGAATTTTTTAAACCCCCCCTTCCCTCACTTCTGACATCTCAAAGGTACCAAATCAGCAACCACAGGTGAGTCTCTTGAGCTTTTCAACCTTTCCAATGTTGGCTTGGAGTTACCAACTGTTGTGTGCCTGTTGTCCAATTCTTATAGTGTAGACATCTAAGTTCAAAAATGTGATGAAGGAGGCCAGAAGAGAGCAACCAGATTCCCTGTGGTCCTAGTGTGCTGGTCGATCCTTTTCTTGGCATCTGTCACGCTCTCTGTTCCCTTGCTCTATATTTTTGAAGAATCTGCTTAGTTAAAAATAAGTAGATGAAAAGCTGGTATGATGCAAAGCAAAGCAACGTGAATCATCTTGATTTCTAAGACTGTCTCCAGCCCCGTAGATATTTTTGGAAGAGAAGCACAGCAGGTGGCTGCCGCTCGGTATTCTAGTAGCTAGGGCACGTGGCTATCCGTTTGTCTTTGGGAGAAGTGAGTTTTGGAGCTGGCCACACTCAGCTTGGCAGGATCTTTGGTGAATGCACAGCCGCCTCCATCATGGCTACTTTATGAGAGTGCACAGAACAGGTTCACTATGAATAAGCAGCTGTAGAGGGCAACTGCTCGATCCCAGGAAATGAGGCGGCTGCTTTAAAGAGCCGCCAAGAGGCGATATGTTTGTGCCCCCTACATCCTGCAAAGCAGCTTTTTGGAATGGCTTCTGAATACTTCACATCCCCAGTAAGTGTCACCAAGTCCATGCCCTGTTAAGGAAAAGACAAATTCTGCAACCTGCATAATATATGCAAATCACTTCTGCTCTGCCTAGGTTGGGTCACCTGGTGGACTTCATTCTGCTTTTGTTTCCTCTGGAGACAGCCCAGCAATCCAGCTTTACATTCCTGCTGGCTTTTCAAATTCTGCCAAGCTTTTGACACCTACAGTAATTTCAGCCGTATCAACCTAGGCACGAGGGCTAGAAACACTCTAGGAAAAAGGAAAGCTGCGTTTGTCAGAATGCAATGTTCTGCATGTGGTGTCGTGTTCTGGGCCTGAGCGGAGCGCCCAGCACCCTGAACTGAGTTCATCTGGTGGGTCTTTGCCTTCGTGGTTGCTACGGACAGATACTTCTCTAATGGATTTTCCATGTGAGATCAGTTTTCCACAAAACGGTCAACTGCGTATTTTACAAGCTGACATACTCTTGTTCATGCCACTTTCAGGATTTTAAATACACTGTGTCATGGTGCCTGTTCACATATTCATTTCACCTTGTGCCTCTTGGGGGTCAGATTGAAAAATTAGGAATTTCACTGCAGGTCCAAATTGGCTTTTTTTTCTTTTCTTTTTTTTGGCAAGTTGTTGAGAAAGGGCCAGGTACCTCTGAACACCATCCATAGGAGAAGTGACCAGGTAGGACCCTGAAGATCTCAGATCTCAGGCCATCTGCTAGCCGCGTCAAAGTATTTTCCTAGTTGTGAGCATTGCCTACAGCGACTCATGGATTAACTGTGTAAAGAGCAGTAGGTTTTTTGGCTCTGGAGGGAGGCAGAGCAAGAGGCAGCCAAGGAATTTGGAGAGAAGTGCCTAGCAAAGGCTCCCTAGATTTTTTTTGGCCTCTGTGGGTGGAAGGAAATGCAAGACAGGCGTCCTGCGAGAGGCAGCAAAGGGGCCTTGGAGCGGCCAAGCGTCTGGAGCCGTCGAAGCCGAGAGCGTGAGAAAAGATGAGGGCGGGCCGGCAGAGACCCAGGCCCCCCTGGCTGGGAGCCAGTCCCACTCTGGAGGGTTGAGCGGGCGGCAGCAGCAAACATTAACAGCAGCTCTTGTGAAAACCTGAACTAGGATTTCATGCAACCTCCTCCTGCCGACCGCAGCGGAAGGGTAAGTTCGCGCCTTCCTAATGCTGGCAGAGACTAGAGAAGCGTTTAGCCTGTCTTTGGGATCCCTGCTTCTTTTGGAAAGCAGCTGGTCACCCGTGCCCTTGAGTGTGGCGGCTGTTTTTCCTCCTGTCCTCTCCCACCACAGCTCTTCCGCTCCCCTTTTCTCCCCCTGCGCCCAGCCCCTTCCTTTCCTCGGCACCCTCTTTCTCCAACCGTGGTTCATTCGCCAGCCAGTCCATCGGGCCAGGCATCTGCTCAGAAATCCCAGAGGCCCGGTTCCTCTCTTGGGTTGCTCCATTGGTTGTCTCGTCCTGGATGGGGATGATGGGGCTTGTAGTCTAAGCCAGCTCAGTGAAGTCTTTTTCTCCCAGTTTTGCCTTGTTCCCGTGTTCCCCTGGGCGGAGCCTGCCCTTGCTTCATGGAGCTGGGTCGTTCATCAAGGCCCCCTTCCCTGCTGTCTTCCATTTCAAAAGTTCTTCAATCTGGGGGTCCTCTTGGACTCATAGCTCCTGCTTGAAAAGGAGGTAGCAGCCGTGGCCAAGAGGACCTTTGCACAGATCCATCTTGTGCGCTAATTATGCCCGCTCCTGGATCAGGAGGCCCTTCAGACAGTCATTCATATCCTAGGCACCTCACAGCTTGACTACTGCTACACATTCCACGTGGGGCCACCCTTGTAAACTACTCAGAAGCTACAGCTGGTCCAGAATACGACAGCACAGGCAGTAATGGGCAGGCCACAGTATGCCCATGTGCCATCACTGCTCCATGCCAGTTAGCTTCAGGGGGCAAGTCAGGGTGCTGATCATCAACTATAAAACCCTTCATGGCATACGGCCCAGCTATATGAGGGACTTCTTATCTTTGATCATTTCTGCCCATCCTGTATGATCAGGCAGAGTGGGCATGCTCCAGATCCTTTTAATTAAACAATGTCATCTAGTGGGAGCCCGGAAGCATGCCTTCTCTGCAAGGGTATCCCCTCAAGATCCGTATGGCTCCCGCCTTGATGATGTTCCAGAAGGTATTGAAAATCTGATCATTTTCCCAGGCCTTGGGGTAGGATGGTGGTAAGCCCTGAAAGTTTTGGTTTTGGTTTTATTCTCTTTTTTCTGGACACAGATTTCTAGCTTTTTTATGGTGTGAACCTCCCAGAGTTGATAGGAATCGGAGTTTTTAAAAATCTATGGAACAGACAAACATTCTGTAGCTGTCACAGAAATTCAGTCAATAGCTAGGAACAAGATTATAGGCAAGTTTCCACCTATGTGGAACAGGCTTTTTCCCCCAAAATATCCCCATTCTGAGGGTGGAGGCTTTTGCTGGATCTTCTCTTCCAACCAGCTGCAAAACAGCTCATTTTGGAGCACGTTCCAGGAGTGGGGGATCTGTCTGCCTCCTTCTGGGCAGGTGGAGAAAATTGTGGCCACCTCGGATGTCACCCTTTTGGGTGGGCACACAACCTCTGCTCTGTGGCTTCCAATTCCTTTTGTGCATGCATTTTTCTCTGTTTATGTGAAGCTGGATGCCATTATTGTCTCTCTCTTGTTTTGTTCTTTTTTTAGATGTTTTTTAAAAAAATAGGATCCTCCCCTTTTCCTCCGCTTCTGCAAATCTTCTTCCTATGGTTTCTGGGCCCCGTTCCAAGATGAGTGGAAAAATGGCATGATGTCACTGCATACTCTGCTGCTGTTGCCGCCTCTACCAGTTCATTTGCCAGAGTCTGTTGCCAAAACAGACTGAGCTGCTTGCATTAATTTAAATAGGAGGAGGAATTTATCAGCTTTCAATATTTGGAGTTCTTCTCAGGCCCCTCAGGAGTTCTGAGAACACAGGAAGCTGACTGAATGCAAGTCAGACCGCTAACTAGCTGGTCTTGATCAGGATTGAAGAACTGGTAGCCCCCTTGGTATTCCCCAACCCCAAGTCCCGGCAGTCTCAGCCAACTGGGCCAAGCGGAGGTATGCTGAGAGCTGAGGTTGAACAACATCTGCTGGCCCTCACCCTCCTTATCCCCAGTTTCTGTTGACTGCCAGATGTTGGCTTCACCACACGCTTCTCAAACGCTTCTCTCTAAAAGTCATCAAACCAATCTAGGAAGGTCCAGCTGAAAAGCACCAGTGTTGTGGCTTGTAGTGTAAATTCAGTTTTTCTCCCTCTCTCATTTTCAGGTAAGCTTCTGCATTCTCCAGTTGCCATGATAACTTTGATTCGTTAAGACAGACAGCCAGAAGCCTGAGGCACAAGGCCATCCTGCGATATCCGGAAAGTGTCTTCTTCCCTGGAGTTGCAACATCTCTTGTCTTGTAGCTTCTGCTTGGATCTCCTGCTCCCATGGATCTCTGCCATGTGAGGAGTCCCTGAGGGCTTCCTTGTGGCAAACCACTGGGAGCGCATGGCAGCGTGGACACATCCCCCACCCACCGGTGGACAGATGTTTCCACCCCTCGTTGCAAAATGAGCCACGGCACCAGTTCCCACCTGGCTGATTCTCCTCAGCTCTCCAAGAGGAGCCTGCTCAACATCCTCGGGAGCCCCCAGCCTGAGAGGATGAGCCTGTCGGACTCCATGCCCCCTACCCCAAAGAGTGGCACCCCTTCCCCTGGCCCACCACAGCTCCCCCTGTTGAACTCCACCTGCCACGACAGTGACTGGGAGAGCCGGGAAGAGTTGCGCTTGCGAGAACTCGAGGAAGCCCGAGCCCGAGCCGCCCAGATGGAGAAGACCATGCGCTGGTGGTCTGACTGTACCGCCAACTGGCGAGAAAAGTGGAGCAAGGTCCGTGCGGAGCGCAACAAGGCTCGGGAGGAGGTGCGCCAGCTGCGCCAGAAGCTGGAGACCTTGAGCAAGGAGCTGACCAGTCTGAAGCGGGAGAAGCAGGAGGCCCTGAATGAGAACGAGCAGCTGGGCAAGGAAGTGGCCCGTCTGAAAGGAGAAGGCAAGGAGGGGGAGAAAGAGAAAGAGCTGGACAACCGCATCGTCTCTGAGAAGGAGAGCGAGGCCTCCCCGGAGCAGGAGCCAGTGCGAGACGTGGGCTCCGAGAAGGGGGTGAAAAATAAGGTAAGGCAAGGCAAAGCCTTTCTTGCAGCAGGGGCTCTGCTAGCAAACGTCTTCTGGCGTCTGCCCCAGCAACACTCACCTCACCTGAAAAGGGACATGGCAGTCACTGGCTGCGTTGGCTTTATTGACATCATTTTGGTTTGCTTTGGCCGAGCCGTAACAGGGATGAGAACCCCCAGGCTGTAGGCTGCCTCATCTCCACCCCTTAAGATCATGCCGTTGGATCGTCATGACAAATTAGGATGGTGCACAATGTCAAGTTTTCCATAGCTTAATGCAGATAACCCTCACATTTTGCAAAGAGTAGTACCAGCTCCTCGTGGTCACATTTCCTGCCCCCTTGGCAGATAGACTTTGCAGCCCGGGGTGCCAAATTCTGAATTCTCGGAACAGACACAGAGCAGCTACAGTCCCTGAGCAAGGGCAGTTTATGGTTCTCCTGGAGCTAGGAATCCTGCACCAGAGCAGGACGGAGTTAGTTGTAAGCTGAGATTTGGGGAATGCCAAATGTTGTGCATGGCTGGTGCATATGCCAGAGTTTACTCTCGTCCTCCAATGACCTAGAGTGCCCCTTCATCCCGAACAATTACAATCAGTGTTGTTCACATATGATGCTATGCCAGAATGTGACTAGTTTGGTTTTGGCTTAGTGCCACACATGAATTCAGCGATTATGGTTTGTAAAGCATGGTTTATCATGCAATGTGATACTTAAATCAAGCCAAGCTTGGCTTACTCAGCAAAACATGACTAAAATGCAATGGCTTAGTACAGAATGGGAATCAAGCCATTATTTCTGTAGGATGAATTTGATTCCTTTATATTTAAGTATGGAACAGCCCCAGAAAAGCGATTTCCCCCCCAACGTTTGTTGTTGTTTAGTCGTTAAGTCGTGTCCGACTCTTCGTGACCCCATGAGCCATATTG